TAAAGCCGGGCAGGGACTGTGGGGTCTCCGCCGCCGTTGAGAGGTCTCTGGATTTTGGATATTTCAACCCCGATAAGGCTAGTACCAAGACTGCGATCCTTCTCTAGCGTCCTGTACCTACGGAGAGAATAAAGAACTTCTTTTCCAAAACGAATTGCAAAATAGATTTTAAGTGGATGCAAAAGGGATTATTTCGTGATGTGTATATGTATCTCGCATACCTCAAAACGATTAGCCGACGTTGAAATTTTTTATATGGGACTGTTATAAGATTATGCATCTCCTTTTTTAAGTGCAATTGACAATAACAAACTTGTATACACATATATTGAAAGACCTTACCCGGCCTTGCTTTTGCAATCGTTCGTCGTAGTCGTATACTTTTACTTTAGTCATATACTTTCATGTTTTAGCAATGTCGAATTAAAAAAGTAAGCGCTTTTAACCAGGGTTATGAATAAAAACGGATATAGTGATTCCAGAATTTAATGTTGGAGAACAAGTCGATTATTCAGAAATAAGGACAATAACCATGAAGAAAATTTAGTTTAGATGTGATGTAGCGCGGATAAATGAAGTTTTTAAAATGAAACGTTATATCATATTTTATAAAGGAAGTCGGATGTATTGTGCTAAGAATTTTACAGAAAAATCAGTAAGTAATAAATGAATGAAGTAAAATTTTTACTTCATTTATTACTTACTGATTAGTAAAATTTTTCGCTCAGATTTCCAATTTAAATTATAGTCTTATCTTATCAAGTGTCAAAATTTAAAAAAAAATCCATCTGTGAGAATATCTAGCTGTTTAGCAAAGATGACAGTGGAACGAGGAGCATAGAGGTTCACAGCAAGCCGGTTACTGACTTTCTCTGTTGTTGTTGTTTTGCCCATATTGCATGTAACAATGGTTGCCAGAACTTACTCCAAAGAGAGGTTGAACTTCTATTTTGCACCCCCAATCTTGAGGGAGAGCACCTCGGGGGGATCCGGAGGTCTCTCATCCCTCTCCCCTTCCATCAATCTACTCGAGAGGACTTTCGGCTCGACGCATATTTAGAGTGCCGCTATGCCGCACTAACACTACACATTTACAAACATTCATGTCGGGCAGTAACAGATATGTCCCACAAGTCCGTTTCATTAAATTAGTCTTAAGAAATTTCAGTCGATTATAGAGATTAAATATATTGTTTGACGTTGAGTTTTATTTGAATATACTGTTTTACAAGAGTCTGAAGTTGAGTTTGACATTGAGTAGAAATCTTGAAGACATTGAAAAAAATCTGACATTTTAAAAAATGACATTGAGTAGTTGCTTGAGTTGAGTCGAAGATCCTTTTGCCTGTTTTCTGTTTCGCTTTTTGCCTGATGCTTGGCCAAATAGTCCTGATAAAGCAAAAATTAATTTCCGTAATCTTGTAAGATTATAACCTGTGTGCTTTTAAGTTAAAGTTGAAAAATCTTAAGAACTGGTGAGCGAATAATCGCTTGAGTTCGTGAGGCAGAAAATAAAACTTGGGAAGGGTTAAATACTCTTTATTATTCAAAATTAAATTCACAGAACTCCTTCTTGGAGTTTTACAAGAAAGCCTCCACTCGGGCTTTAACTCAGGAACTAAGAAATTAAACTTAACTAATCTTAACTAAAAGGATATAGCCAAAGCTATCAAAATTCTAACAGAGTTGGACCCTTAACGCTAAATAACGGCGAAACTATCAAAGGCCTAAAGTACGGCCGAGCACAATAATAGTTTAAAAGAGAGTAGCTTAAAAAGAGGAACGCGCGCTAGTCAGAATCACTGGCTCTCTCTAACGAAGTCAGTAGAACTTCACAGTTAAATAATTCTCCTCAATTGCTTTCAAACGTGATTCTAAAAATATGTTCTGGCCGGAAGTTGTAAGCTTGAAGTTAAGAAAAGATAGGACAGTGGCTTTAACTCCAAATTTACCTGTTAGATAAATTACCTTAATCCTTACAATCTATCGGAAAAGGTTAACAACCCCAAACAAAATAGTAAATAGGCTATGTGGTAGCAAGATTTAATTTCTTTTCTTTGACAATCTGTTCTTACACTCTTGAAACTACTGGTTGCCAAAACAAAAAACAAAATCCAGCAATTAATGTGTTTCCAAAATCAGGAGGATTTGCAACAGTTTGAAAATTTCTGGTTAGGTTTGCTTTATTAAAAATATTTTTAAGAAATAAAATTAAAAGCTTTAAGAGAAATTAAACTTTAAGAGAAATTAAAGAGAGAATATTTTCCGAAAAGCTTATCTGAAAGGTATATACTGTTATATTGTTATGCTAAAATTAGCTGAATTCCTGCAAATACTTTTCTTCTAACACATGATGGCTCAATAGGACATTAAATTTTGGAACAACGATTTATAAAAGCGAAATCCAATGTATACAAAATGCAATATATATATATATATATATATATGAATAAATAGAGTATAAAAAATTTTAAAACAGAATTATCCCAATATTATTTCCGCGCAATATGCTGCTGAAAATTAATCAATTATAGATCAGAAACAAAACATTTAGAACTAGATCCACAAAGACATGAAAGAAATGAAATTCAAAATCAGTAAAATCCAAAATTTCCTACAAATACGTAAACATTCAACAAATAATCACCAAACCAGAAGAATTATAGATATGAGAAATATAAAAATTCCAAAAAATCCAAAAACTGCAAGAAAAATGGGGCAAGCATGTCAAAACCAAAAATGAAATAAGAAATTTATATATTTAGCTGCGTCGTCAATCGGGGGTTGGTGCAACAAAAGAAGTAAAAAATTCAATTTTGAAGAATTTGTATAAAATTCATTTTGCATTATTTATATACATATATTATATATATATATATATATCCTAATTTGGCAAACTGGAAGCGTTCTAGATGGATGCATAAAAGAGAGGCTTGTAGACGTGGCCAAATTCAGTCATTTCTTTTTTATTCATGGTTGACGCACAGTTTTACTTAATCCAACACAAAAACGTAAAGAACGTCTTGCATTGGTAAAACTTGAGAAATATATTTTTGAAGGCAGCACACAGAAGCATTTTGCAAGAGCGAAGCAAATCGGCAAGAGTGACGCATTCAGAAGCAGCGTGGGAAAGTAAGTAAAAAAGTTTAGGCTCTTAACAGAAATCTGAAATCTGATTGGATAAAAAATATCTGCGTTGATGAATTATGCAAGATGACATGAAACGGATTGATGTGGAATAAGGCAGTTTAGGTTGATATATTATGATAAGAGTTATTACCAATTAGAATTAGACGTTAGCTCTTATATTTTTTTTACCTTCACACACACACACTTACATAACATACATGCATATATATATATATGTATATATCCTCTTATCCAAGGTTGCAATTATTAATATTGTTGAGGAATTGCTTTGATTAGAATTTAATATTAACTTTAGATGCTTAAAGTTTAATTTACTTCAATCCTGCAGCGCAGGACTGGTTAAAATATTTTCTTTGTTTTTAACTTTTGTTTTTAACTTTGTTTTAAAGTAATGTTTCTTTTTGTACATATATAATGAAATAAAAAAAATACATTCTCTATCTACCCCAGGATCATGCTAGACCTATAAGTACACGGATTTATATTATGAAACGATGTCAAACATTAAAAAAAAACTGAACGTAATATAAAATTAAATTGTTAATTATAAATAGTGCAGTATATCTCTACATGCACATAGAGGAAAGTTTTTAAAAAATTTTACATTACTAAATCTATAAAGCGTTTTTTGGCTTCACTCTTTGGAATAATCACATTCTACTATTTCTTTAGGTTCATTAATATAATTATACTGTGCATATGTACAAACAGCCTCATGCTGACAAATCCTTTTTTTAAAGCATCCATAAACAACATTACACTTTCTTCGCGCTCTCTCATGCTTCTCACATTTGCGCCCTCTAACTGCGGCTTTTTTATAATGCCCTTTATCCGTGGCTTACAAATCTATATTCTACATTCCAAAATTTATACTCTTTCCAGAACCCCCAAAAATAATATACATTAGAGTAAAACTTGAGATGAAACAGAAACACAAATAATACCACAGAGCAAAATGAATACTATAAAAATAAGTACTTTATAGCAATAAATGGAATAAAAACCAGTAAAATGTTGCGACAAACCATTTTGTTCAAGTGTTTACAGCCAGGAGAAGTGCTATAATGGTTATTATATGAAAAGTTAAGTATGGTTTAAACAAAAATTTAATGAGCGTGTAAAGACATTAGGATTAATTTTGGAAGTCAGAGAGATGAAAAATTAGCAACCGCCTTCGCCGGGAATCGAACCACGGACCTCTGGAATACCGGCGCAGCGTGCATAACCACTACACCACGAAGGCACGCTAGGAAAGCGGGAGAAATACCTTATATACTCCCCTTTTTAGAGGGCGACTGGGGTTTTTAGGGAAGCCAATTGCCAAATTCTGGGTGTGGAGGAACCTCGTCCAACACCCTTTTAGTTCGAGCGCCACTGTAGAGACATTAGGATTTATTTTGGAAGCCGGAGCGATGAAAAATTAGCAAATGCCTTCGCCGGGAATCGAACCACGAACGTAATGAATACCGGCCCATCTTGCAGAACCACTACACCACGAAGGCACGCTAGGAAAGCGGAAGAAATACCTTAAAAGCGAATTAATTAAATGATGTCATATTTTTATGAAATATTTCAACCTCTACAATGCTTCTTACGTCAGACAAATTAAACGGCTAAAGTCTATTCCCAAATAAAAACTTGCCTTGTCATCACCCAATGAGGTAAAATATTAGATGCAAATCAAAATGTTGAAATAATGAAAACTAGTTAATTCATTTAATAATTTTTATAAATTTCTATAATCTGAAAAATCTGAATCTTTTATAAATTTCTATAATCTATTAACTCAATATTACATTTGGACTTAATTTAATCTCTCGTAAGAAATTAATTACGAAATGGGAATTTACCTGGCATACTGACATGACGCATAACGAAATGACGTAACACGTGACAAATGTCCATCTGAAAAAAACTGAAAAGAAGAATAAGAATAAGATAAATTATTTACATCAAATGAAAAAGTCGAAAAAAATGACAAAATGATTTAGCTAACAAATTTTATAAAAACTCTTATTCTAAAATATCCTGGATGCTTGGTAGCAAAAGAAATAATTTACAGTAAAGGTATAGATATAATAATAATAACTATATACATATTTAGAGATAAATAAATGAAAAATATTTAATTCATAATTACTAATGTTGAGTAAAGTGCTGCGAACTAAATGCGAATAAAATATAACAAATTTGAATATAAATATATTCTAAGGGGTCAGTTATCTAACGTGAAAGAAAAGAAACAGTATGAAACACAAACACCGAAATCGTTCTTGAACAAACTTTCAAATTAAAATAAAGCAAACAATTAAATAATTAAATAAAATATACAAATCTTTGGTATTTATCAAGAAGCAGTAAAGAGAATTATCCTTGGAACAATCTTATCTGGATGAATTGCAAAAAAATTAAGTGTAAAAAAATTGAAAATTAATTTTGAATTTTTAAACTTTTTCTTGAAATAATTGAAATATAATTAGAAAATAGTAAAAAATTAAAAACTGATCAGTGTAAAAATAAAAATTAAGGGAATTATTTAGACCATTCATGAAAATAAAACTACCCCACCACAACTCAAAAGAAAGAGTGTATTTCACATTTTGCTATTAATTACAATTTATAATACGAGTAAATACATGAGAAACGACAATTAGTCTCAATTTCATATCAAAGCAAAGATTCCTTTTTAGAAATGCTTATTAAACAAATTTTTTATATAAATTTCAGTAACTGAGTAAGTATGCATAAAAATAGTTGAATAGAATGTCGAAAAGATACAATTTTTGTAAAATGACCCGTGAAGATAAGAAGAAGCCAAATGTAAAAATCAAAGTTTCAAGAAAATAGAGAAAGGCAAAAGCACTGCAAAAATGAAAAAAAATGTGACAAACCAATGTCCAGTGCTTAAATTTATCGAGGAAAATTGTAAAGTAAGTTTTCCATATTTGTGTGTAATTTTTCATAATGTTTTGCATACTTTTATAAACAGCAGACGTTTACGCTTAAGAGATTGTGGAAAAATATGGCTGAATCTAGCGGTCATTTCGCCGACTTATTATTTTGCCGCGTCTAGGATGTACCAAGAGGTGAAACTGATTTTGCTCGCTCCAGGAGGCGAAAAACAACGCACGTGTTACCAAGCCTTGCTCAATACTCGAAACTCTGGATACAACTTCGGGCTATTAGTCAGTCTTCGATAATCACCATACCATACAGGACAGGAATTGTAGTAAAATATTAGAAGACTTGTTTTTAAAAAGTTAAATTCGTTTATTTGTATTGGAAAAAGTAGTTTCGCCCTATCGTTCTTAGAAAAGATGCTTTCGTCAGAGAAACTGATACGAATCACGCCGTGGAGAAAATTACGAAATCGTCAAGCAGTCAGCCCATTTAGTTGATGAAAAGCAAACCCAGAGAGAATTTTAGTATTTGGCAATTTTTATGCACTCGGCTTTTAGTTAACCGTTTGTAAATGAAGAGAAAAGAAGAATAGATTTCCATTTCAAATACAAATTAAAAAAATTCACTAAGTACATGTATAACGTATTTCTCTCGCCTTCTTAGCATGCCTTCGTAGTGTAATAGTCAGGTCAGTACTCTGGGCGAGTATTCGAGAGGCCCGTGGTTCGAGTCTCGGCGAAGGTGTTGCTCATTTTTCACCTCTCCTGTTTTCAAAAGAAACCTGATGTCTCTAGAGTGGCGCCCGAACAGAAAGGGTGGTGGATGATGATTCTCCACCTCCAGGATTTGGCGATTGGGTCGCCCTTTAAAAGGGGGTGTATATAAGGTATTTCTCTCGCCTTCTTAATGCCTTCGTAGTGTAGTGGTCAGCACGCTCAGCGCGTATTGGAGAGGCTTGTGGTTCGAGTCCCAGCGAAGGCGTTGCTCATTTTTCATCTGTCTTGTTTAAAAGAAAACCTAACGTCTCTACACATGTATTCATCAAGAATTTTATTTCAAATTTTTTTTATTTATTTCTGAAACCCATTGTTTGATTCAAAATAACTATACTAGTTTTATTTTCATAATGTATTTTCATTTTTGTTATTTTTAAAAATTTTTATAATTTTAACGAATGCACATTCTCACACATATATCACTTAGTTACTCACAGACCTAAAATAGTACATCAACCATATAAAAATTCGAAAAAGAAGATTCCGATCTTCGCTTATACACAACAAGATCTTTTATCACACTTCGTACTAATGAATTTGTGCTGGAAATTCTCTTTCGCCATATTTTTTCCATTACCTCACGGTACCAGTGCTTATCTTGATCTTTCGCCTAGAGGTAACATTTGATCTTTTTTTTTTTTTTCAAATTTTTTTTGGCCTTATCCCGAAACGTGTTCGAGTTCTGTAGCTATGTCGATCTGAAAGTTTATTGATTTTGTGTCGACTACGCCTGCAATTTCCACAGCTGTGACAGATAAAAAAGAGGAAAGATTTATACTAACAGGTTCCCAACGTGATAAAATAAAGGATAGGAAAATGGAGCGAATTTCTTTCGAAAAACAAAAAAGAAGGGTTTAGGACGTACTACATTATTGAAGATTTTGGATTTTCTCTTGGTATAAGTACACCTGCCACCAGTAGAATACTTGGAGAATTTCCTGCATCCAGTCCTTTAGAAGTATTTATTCTCTAGGAGTCGTAATTTAGTCTGTTGTTTTCATCTTGACTTATTTTGCCATTTTTTTTTTGGTTTAGTACGAAAGACTGAGTACAGCTAACCTCTCTGTTTATTTCCGAATTTGTTCCAAAGTTTTTATTTTATCAGTGATTAAAACAATGATTAGTAACACAGTGACATCAGTCACACTGGAGAACTAAGGTTCTGAAGAATAATTTGTAATAAATTATAAAATTTTATATTATTTAACCAGCTATCATGATTTGAGCCTTAACTATAACGTCTTTCCTTAGCCCTCACCATAATTCAAATTAGTTGTTGATTATTTAAGTCGAGGGTATGAATATTTTACAGCTCCTGGCAACAGCTGGCTGTTTTGAGATACTTACAAATGAGAGAATGAGTTCAAGCATCACAATGTTAAGATAAAAACCACTCGAGTTTTTTGGAAAGAAATTAGAAGGGTTTAAAGCATTCCAAGGAAAAATAAATACCTTTCTTTTTCGATATCTTTCCAAAATCAATATAAACACTCCATACGCACGCTTCATATATAATAAGTTTACAAATAACGGAAATTGGTAAGCCTTTTTATGATTGAAGAAATGAGTGTCCCCGCAATAAAAGATATAGTTGAAAATTTCGGCGTTTTGGATTCAAAAAATTAACATGATTCCAATTTCAAATGATATCGTCTCTAGAAGGATTAACGAAATGTCGAAATATATTGAAGTTTAGATTATTCACAAAGGTTAAAGAAAGCAGGAATTTTGATGTCGAGCTTGATGCCCCTCCCGATGTCCAAAGCTTATGTCAATTTTATGAGTTTATATTTACATTTTAGGAATGACTCCATGAACATATATTGTGCTGCTACCCAATTCATCGTAATACAAGCGAGGATATATTCAACATCCTTAGCACTTAAAGAAATACGAAAGGGTCTGGAAAATGGATGAAATGTCTTGTAATGTATAGTGCTAGGGACCATGCTAGATCTGGTAATCGAGTGACTGAACGTAATCTAATTTTATTAGTTTTTCATTGTCATAGCGAAGTATTAGTACCTAAGTGGTTACCGCATAGTGTTAAAAGCGTTTTGAATTTTCTGTTAAATGGTATTCGCTCAGAAGTGCATTGGAATTCTCGAAGGAAAATTTTAAAAAGGATCTGTGAATCTCCGTAAAGAATTTGTAATGTTTTTGAAAGCTAAATGTAGAAGTGAGTTTGAGAAATCATTGCGGGAGCAGCGTTTGTTCTGAAGTTGACGAATTTAGTAGATATCTTTCTAAAACTTAACGAATTAAATTTGTATTAACAAGAAACATTTAGAATGCCTGATACAATCAGAGCATTTATCAGGAAAACTTGTTTTATGAAAGAAAACTACTGAAGAACGAAATTATGATAACTTTGAAACATTTGAAACTTTGGGAACCGAAATATAAATATTGAAGTTAACATAATTTCCAGATCTCAAAACACTTTAAATGACTGAAATACAAGTTCAATTTATATTTTAAAGATGAAATGGAAAGTTCCAGCAGATGAACTGGCTTGAGAATCCTTTCCAGGTGGACAAAAAGGCAGTTATATGGACAAAAAATGATAATGACTTAATTAATTTCTTAGGAAACATATCGTTAAAACAGAACATTTATCGGAAAAAAAACTGATCCAGCTCTGTTTATATCAATTGAATATGAGAAGCCTTATAAGGTATTTTCTTCCTCCTTTCCGTACCCCTTCGTGGTGTAATTGGAAGCATCCTCGACGCGTATTCGAGAGCTCCAGGACTCGAGTCCCGGCGAGAGGGCACTGCATATTTTTCATGTCTCTTGCTTCAAAAAAACCTAATAACTCTACTATCCTCTCCTTGTAAAAAAAGCAACTTGCAAACAAAGTAACAAACAACTTTCTCGTCTTGATACTTTACGAAATTGGATTCTTCGATACAATGGTAATTAAAAATTAAGTATCGCAATAAGCTGCGATTAACTGCGTATGTCTTAAGATAGCTAACCTCGGCATGGATGTCAGTGCATTCATCATCGTTAACAGAAAACAAGCTGAGACTCCATATATACAACTATATAAATAATTAATTAAAAACTTTAGAAAGTATCTTTCACTTTGCTTTGCAAAAATATTTTTGATAGCGTTAACAAAGTGAATTTGTTAGGCACGTTTTTTGTAAAGTAAAATATAATTTTTGTTAAACTATTTTCCTGAAAATACAATGATTTAAAATACATAGCAATTCTTTCTATATATAAGTGG